CCAGCCCCCACTGCCCTCCCAGAGCCGGGGAGAGAACCCAGGAGTCCTGGCTCCGAGCCCCCCATGCTCTAACCCACCAGCTCCCACTCCCCTCCCAGAGCTGGGGAGAGAACCCAGGAGTCCTGGCTCCCAAGGGTGGGGGAGCCCGTGGGTTTCTATCTGCTGGAGGGGCAAGCGGTGGGAACAGAATCCACAATGCCCAGCACCACTGGGCTGCCACGCGGGGGCCGGACAAGCCGGGCGATCCCAGGTCCCCCTGCCCCGGTGAAGCTCCCTTACCAGGTGCTGAAGCCGGTGGGCCGGCTGGCCCGGGCAAAGTCAGCCAGGTCAGGCCCCATTTTGCTGCAGGCTTCCAGGTTGAGGTATTTGAAGATGTGGATTTTGCCTTTCAGGCAGATCTGGGGTGAGAGAGGGGGTGGGGGGCTCGTTAGGGCTGGGATGAGGCGGGGGGAGCCCCCACCCCTTTACTGAGTCACCGGCCGGAAGGACCTATCGGATCTGACTCTGGCATCGCACCGGCCGGTCCCATGTTAGGCACCCGCACTGTGGAAAATCGGTGCCTCGTTGCCCATCGGGATGGGTCCAGCTTTACCGCCCACCCCCAGCCCTCCTTCCCCGGGTCAGTTTCCTTCCATCCCGCTGTGCCCCAGGCCCCGCCCCGGCTCACCTGCGCGGGCGGTGACTGGAGGGGGTTATTGTCCAGCAGGATGGTCTGCAGGTGCCGGAGGTGCCGGTAGCAGACGGGGATGCGGGCGACCCGGTTGCAGGAGAAATCCAGGCGGACCAGGGGCAGCTCCGACAGCTCTGGAGTGGCAGAGGGGCCCGGTGAGCGCGGCAGGGGCCCTTGGAAACACCCCAGCTGCCCCACGTCCGGAAGGGGGGGATCTGTGGGGAGTCCCAGCCCCACCTGACACCCCCTGGCACTGGGGCATCGGGGCTGCGGTGAGCACAAGGGGATGTGGGGCTAGAATCAAGACCCGGACCCAGCTCCCAGGGCGCTTGAACAAGGAGAAAGGGCCCGAAAGGTATTCGCGCACCGGCCCTTTAACTACCAGCTCACTGGGCTCGCGGGATTGGTGGCTTCCGTTCCCACCCCGCGCTCGATTGGCTGGAAGGGGTCCTGCCCCGGGATTTAAAGAGACAGAGAGGGGCACTGACCTTCGGGCAGGGCAGTTAGCTGGTTCCTCCGCACGTTCAGGTCTCGCAGGGACCCCAGCCGGCCCATGCTGGCCGGCAGGGACTGGAGTTCATTGCAGCTCACGTCCTGGGGAGGGGGGAAGAGGTTGGTTTAGCAAGGCCTGGTGGCGGCGGCAGCAGCGGCAGAGGGGCGGGGGAAGAGAGGCACGATGGAATGACCCACGCTGGAGACGAGCCAGGACGCCTGGGTTCTCACTGGCACAGGAGCGACAGAGGAGCTTTGAGTGGCAAAGCCTGGCCTAATACCTGACACCCCCATCCGTACATCAGCAGTGGGGCCAGCCCTGCCTGCCGGGGGAGAGCGCCCCCTGCTGAGCCCCCGCCCTGCTCCCTGCCCCACAGTGCCCCCTAGCGCCGCCCTGGGGCCAGCCCCGCCTGCCAGGGCAGAGCGCCCCCTGCCATGTCGGATTTTCCCTGGAGGTCTCCCAGCCCCGGCTGGAGCCTGCTTGGCGGGAGGGATCTGGTGGACCAGCCCCACTCACCAGCTGGCGCAGGTTGCTGAGCGAGCCCGTCTCGTCGGGCAGCGAGCCTAGCTTGTTGTTGCTGGCGACGAGGACTTTGAGGGGCAGGCGGCAGAGGCAGGGCGGGAGGGAGGTGAGCTGGTTCCGGCTAGGGGGGGAGAAGGAGCCGTTAGAACTGCGGGAGGAGCGAGTCAGGCTGGATCCCCCCCGGCCCGGCCGTTACCTGAGGTTCAGGTAAGTGAGGGATTGCAGGTTGGCGATGGCCGGCGGGATGGTCCGCAGGCAGTTGTGGTACAAACTCAGCCCCTCCAAGGAGACCAGGTGGCAGGCGTCCTCAGGCACTTCGGCAAAGCGGTTCCGGGAGAGATCTGGGCGTGGGACGAGAGAGGAGGCCGTTAGACGCCCCCCGCCACCTGCACCGAGCTCCCGGGCGCCCAGGTGTCCATCTACAGGCAACTCGCCCGGCAGTGCCCAGCGCAATGGGGGGCTCTGAGCTCATTGGAGGGGAAACTGAGGCAGGGTGGCCAAGCCAGGAAGAGGTGTCCTGTCTCCCAACCCCTGCTCTAACCACCAGACCCCCCCTGCCCTCCCGAAGAACCCAGGCGTGAGGCTGCGCACCCCCAGCAGAAGGGAGGCGGGGGGACATGCACCATGTAATTCCTGTAAATCGACCCGGCCCGGCCCGAGCCCAGGGGCGATGGGAGGAAAACGCCACTCATGGCCGTGAGCGCGGAGGAATTGGGTGGGAACCCTTTAAACAGCTAGACCCTGCAGCTGGAATCGTGTTTGCTCGATGCACGTCCCAGAGATTTCGCCCTCCAGCCCAAGACCAGGGTCACGTTTAACTCTCCCCCGCACAGAGAATTCACACCCAGCCCATTCCTAAGCGAAGCGAGGACGGGCGAGATCGGTGTAAATGTTACATAGTTTCACTTTTCCTCACTTGTTCACACTGATCACCACTGGATGCCTTTGGGGAAGGTCTGTAAGTCTCTTGCTGTAAAGAAGACCCAGGAGTCCTGGCTCCCAGGAGCAGAGAGGCCACGGCCCAGCCGGGGACGAACCCAGGTGTGACGAACTGGAACTGTTCTTTACTGTGGTCTGTGAATGCTGACAGGGGAGTGTGGCTAGGACGGTCTGCACTGGGGGATGGGAGACTGGCTGAGGGAAGATACCTGAGCATGTAACATGAGAACCCAGGAGGGGGCTGGGGCCAGGTGACACCTTGGCCCGGGAAACTGAACAAAGGCTAGAGGGAGAGTTCAGAGCTGGCTGGTGATATGGCTGGGGAGGGGCTCTGACCTCCCAAGGGGGCTGTGGTGCCCTGGGACCCCAAGATGGACCTAACTGAGGGGGTCCTGTTGTCTATGCCTGCAAGACCTGTCTTGGACTGTATTCCTGTCGTCTAAATAAACCTTCTGCTTTACTGGCTGGCTGAGAGTCATAGTGAATCGCAGGAAGCCGGGGGTGCAGGGCCTTGTGTCCCCCCCTCCCACTCTGTGACAACTGGTGGCAGCGGTGGGATGTACTGCACCCCGTGGACGGTGCTTCCTGCAGTAAGTGACTGGGGAGCAGTAAAACGAAGGGGGATCGACCGGGACCAGGTGGGCTGAAGAGTCAGAGAGAGACGCTTCAGGGGGCGATTAACCCCTGGGAGTGTGTGACAAGAGAGAAGGACTGTTGCAGTAACAGGGTCCCCCGGGGGATCACAGCGAGCGGTCCCGGGGCGGAGGAGTCTGCAGTTCGACCCTGGCAGAGAGGTGGTGACCTGAAGAAGGGCTGGCACACTAGGGGTCCCCCGAGAACGGTGGAAAGTGGAGAGCACAGGCCGGCGAGTGGCCAGCAGGAGGATGTATGCTAAACGCCGCAAGAGTGACCTGGTGGAGCTGTGCAGGCAGAGGGGGCTGCGCCTTGGGAGGTCCTCCAAAGAACAGCTCATTGCCCAGCTGGAGGAGAGGGATCGCTTGGATGAACCGAGCCCTGTCCCTGAGGGAAGCCGCCCGGCGGATGCAGCGGGGGCCCCGGGGCCTGACATGGCTGGGAGGGGTCAGACTGCTGCCGAGGACATCCCGAGACCCTGCCTACCTATACCTAGGGGAGGGGTTGGGGGAAGCCCAGCGAATACCGAGGGCACCCTGATCCCGGCAGCCAGCAGGGGATCGTCCCGGCGGAGCTCCCCGTCCCTGGAGCGGATGCGGCTGGAATGTGAATGGGAGATGAGACTGAAAAAGCTCGAGTTAAGGCAGCAAGAACTGAAGCAGGAGCGGGAAGAGAAGGAGAAACAACGTCAGCATGAGCGGGACCAACGTCAGCATGAGCTGGAACTGGCCAGGCTGAGGAGCAATGGGGCCCCGGCTGCGGTGAGCGAGGGGGGACCCAAGACTGCAAAGAGCTTTGATAAGTGCTCCCTGGCCCAGCGTAAGGAGGGGGAGGACATGGATACCTTCCTGACGGCCTTTGAGAATACCTGCGAGCTGCTCCAGGTTGACCCTGCAGACAGGCTCCAGTTTCTCATCCCCTCACTGGACTCCACAGCCAGGGAGGTGTACAGCCGACTGAAAGGGGCGGAGACAGGGGACTACGAACTGTTCAAAAAGGCCCTGCTCCGCGAGTTTGGGCTGACCCCTGAGATGTACCGGAAAAGGTTCCGGAGTCAGCGTAAAACCCGTGAAGTCACATACCTACAACTAGCCAACCGGGCACAGGGGTATGCCCGCAAGTGGACAGCTGGGGCCCAAACTAAAGAGGACCTGCTTGACCTAGTCATACTGGAGCACGTGTATAAGCAGTGCCCACCCGACCTGAGGCGATGGTTGATGGACCAAAAGCCAGAGAACCCGCAGCACGCAGGCCAGCTGGCCGACAAGTTTGTGAACAGTTGGGCAGGGGATAACAGGGAGGAGTCCCAAAGGAACAGTCCCACCACAACCCAGAGAGAGAGTCACCATGGGACCTCCCAGCGGGGAAATATGGAGAACCCCCACCAAAAGGGAACATCCAGCATCAGGTCCATCCGACCCACTCGAGGGGACCCACGGGCTGCTATCACTGTGGCCAGAGAGGCCACATACGGTCCCAGTGCCCCAGGCTCAGGGACAGACTGAGTGGACCCAACCCACAGAGGGTTGACTGGGTAGAGACCCAGCCAGGCGAGAGGCAGCACTCCCAGGGAAGGGGGGCTGGCAGAGTACCACCTGCTAAGGAGGGAGGAGAGCTCCAGGCCAGCTCCTCTGGGGGGCTGGATGCTCCAGACTCAGGGTTTTTGGTTTACAGAGTGGACGCGGGGCGGTCCCTGCAGAGCGAGTACCTTGTTCCCCTGGAGGTGGATGGGAGGAAGGTCAATGGATACTGGGATATGGGCGCAGAGGTGACGCTGGCCCGGCCCGAGGTGGTGGCCCCAGGTCGGGTCGTGCCCAACACCTACCTGACCCTGACAGGGGTGGGCGGGACCCCAGTCAAAGTGCCCGTGGCGAGGGTACACCTGAAGTGGGGGGGCCAAGGAGGGCCCCAAGGACGTGGGGGTACACCCGTATTTG